GTACGGGTACAAAACTTATGGGTACGGGTTGACTAATCCTTGTTCGAGTCGGATATGGGTACAAAAAGTTGTATTCGTGCAGTACTTTAATCTTGAAAAAGAAAGTAGTTAAAATAACTCTACAAGGTGTTTCCAAAAAAAGAAACACACTCTTTAAAAGATCATTATTTTTAAGACTTTTCTAACTCGGAACTGACATAACATTATAAAGACGAAAGCAAAATATTGTCCATACTGAACTTAGATATCACTATGGATTTATACACCAAAAAAAGTCAATAACCTTCAACAATCATTTTAAAAAAATATACTTTCTAAGTGAAATCTTCTAATGTGTCGAACGCTTTAATAAACAACGATGGTTCATTTAGTAACTAAATAATCATTGTCTAATATATTCGCTGTTGAATTTTAAAAATAGAGCACTATTTTTTGAAAGAGCACACGTAATACAAGTCTAATACTAAAGCAATGAATATTGGTTATATTGTACTGATTATTGTATCATACATATCAAATATATTATTACTATCATAATAACATGATAAGATTATAGAGGTTTTTTGTTATCAACACAGAAAAGTTCTCTTTTCATTTTCATTTGTTTTATTATTCATTCTATGAGTTCCCATCGAATGCTCTTTTGACCTTCTACTTTTTTTGTTCTATGCTTGTTTTGATTTGGTTATCTCAAATTCTATGTTATGCTCGTAAAACATATTTTTCCTGATAAAGTATGCATAATATAAGGACTAATTTCAACAACTCAAAATTATCATTCTTGCAAACATTGAGAAAAATGGAAAAGTTCTATGAAAAAGTGCAGCGAAGCAAAAGAATAAAAATAGATAATATTTAGATTGTCAGGTTGAGATGCTTTCGCTGTTCAATTTATTACTGAAAATAACGCTTCTGTCAAACACAATGATTAATGAATGTTGAAATATATAGCGAGAAAACTATATAATTCTTTGACTCGCTGCACATACGATGATCAATATGTTGACAGACCATTCTTTGAGCCTATTATGTGATGTTACTGATCTGATGGATATTTATCGTTACTATTCAAGTGATTACATCGTGTTTCATGTTGTCATTCTTCAGTAATTCAATAGAAAACTAGGATACTCAAAGTGAACGGAATATTACTGGCTGTTGCATTCTAATACAGATTATTTTATATTAACATCAATCATGAAAAATATTCTCAAGTTTCGTTTCGTTTCATTTTGTTTATTTATTTATTGACATACGTCACAACACATAAGTAGACATAAAATAGAAGGTCCTAACTAAGTGAAATGATTAAAGTAACTTCTTTTTTTCAGTAAGCAATCAAAGTACTAAGAAAATCGCACAACTTTTTGTTTGATATCAAACGTTTGGTAAATCCAATAGTTTTTGTTAACGATTTTCTGGCATAATAGATTATGCTTGATTAGTGGCAGAAAACAAGATTCTTTTAAATTTTGTTCCGATATTCGGTAGTGTTCCCATAAATACAAATGGTAGCCAAAGTGGTTGTACATGTGAAAAATAATTGCAAAAATCCAATGCCGGTATGGTCCATCCGGTAGAACCAGTTAAAGATAAGAGATTGACAACACAAAAAGGAAGGCTACCTATAACGACAAGAGCGGATATTGAAACGGCTTGAATAATCATTTTTCTGTGCTTTCGCCAATTAATCGATTGTTGAAGACGACGCTTCGAATAAAGCACATGAATCACAAGACAAAGATTAAATATTATAATACATATTATTGAACATATGTAATGAACAATATATTCACATAGGGCTATATTTTTATAATATACATAACAAGGAAAACCACAAACAAGACTGTGATAATCAAAATATCCTTCACATGGATAAAAGATAATGGCATAAATATAGAAACATACCATATAAATTATAATAATAATAGGTGGTGCATAATGGAAACATATGTTTCTCCATGTTTTGCCGAAAATACGATCATGAAAAATGAGTATATGTCGCTCAATCGAAGCCCATGCCATTATAACTATAAACGCTGTCCAACAAGAAAAATTTATGAATCGCCACATTGTACAGAAAATAGTAGATTGGATAAGTACAGTTCCTTGATAATAAAGTTTAAGCGTTGATGGAATATGAAATGCCACAAGATAAAATGCAAGAATTAAGATAATGAGTAGAGAATAGTTATTTGGAGCTGACTGAAGAGATTTGTCGGATAAAACGTAAATAATGACAAATAGATAACCGAAGAATGATGGTATTTCGAATGCAAGTAAAAAACCAAATTTCATTGTTGGAGAAAGTATTGAAAGTACAATATCGTCTCGAGCACTCTTGTAATCGCTAATATTCTCTGTAAGACTTAATGGCATTTCCCTACACACTCGTTACATACATTTGTTTACCACGAAGCAAGAGTAGAAATGAATGATTCTCATTAGATGAATGAGATAAGAAAAACGAGTTTGACATCATCATTCTTATCAAGTAGATATTTTCTAAAGTTCAATGATGCACAGAACATGTTTCTACATGGTTGAGCACAGATTTCAGCAGAATGTTCAAAGTACATCAGGCGAATCTGCATTAGGGGTATACATAAGAGGATGTGAGAATATGGGGCTAAGTGTGAGAGATGGCTTCGAGGGTGCTGATTGTGAGTATGAGTGGGAATTCAAAAACTAAAAAAAAATATTGAGACTCGTCTTTATTTCAAAACTCACATATCAAAATGGCTAATGATGGAAATATAATTACTGTTCTAGGTCTTCTTAGAACAATAAACATGTCATCGATTGATGAAATTCATTCATCATTTGACCAATGCCGCATGGCTATCACTTTGTTGTCTAGTATCGTAATCGATGTATTGCATCTTTTGAACTCCATATCAATTGGTACCAATTTATGAGATATATGCCGAAGGCAGTCGACGATGAAGAAGAATCTGAGAAAAACGATTTATCAGATATTCTTGTGTTTCAATAATAACAAAAGATATTCATTCAGTTATATTACAACGATTTGAAACAATGTGTCTGCAAATCAAAACAGGTCATACGAAGTTAATGTGAAAAAAGATAACGATCCAACTCTAGTATATCGGAAGAGATCTGTTAGACTTGCCACAGCTACCTAACTCGTTTATTTTCTTTTTAACTAAAGAGTTGTAAAAAGAAAAAAGGGAGAGACGACGACCACAAAAGAAAGACTGAATGATGTTATGGGAAGTGCGATGTGACTGATCTTTTCAAAAAAAAGTTGTACGATTGGGTGCAGATACAAAAAATTGACATTGGATTAAGAAGTGATGAATGTTACCGCTATGACCCATCGACTTATCTGAATCTTTCCTGCTGATCTATTGCTGAGTTACCATGATATATTTATAAATAAAATATCACTAATAAGCGTTCCCAAATATGCTTGTTTACATTTTTCGCGATTCTCTACAAATTTTTTAGTTTTGGCGGCAAAAGTATCTTTTCAGAATTGTTAAAAATTGATTAGTCACAAAAAAATGTTGTGCTGCTGGCTTGATTACTATACTGAACATCAGTGTCATTTTTCAAATATTTTAAATAATATTCGTAAATATCTGTTGTATTTAAATTTCCAACCAATGTAAAATTTTTTACGATAAAATTCTTTGTAATGCCACATTGAACTAAGGATTTAAATGTGTTTAAAGATCTTGTACCGGTGTAGTTGCCCATAAAACCGATACCTTTTGTAAAACAAAAAACATGATTTGAAATCTGGAAATATAACTTGGGAACTAAAAGAATACTTATAAGCCAGTCTATGTAAGCATTACAGATATTATCCATTTAAGGTATGGTGTAGAAATCATAGTTTTATGAATACCAATGGAAACTTTTAAAAATGAAGATTCTTTTCAGAAAGAGTTTTGAACAGTATATATCAAGCATGGCTTGATCGATTCAACTGAACTTTTTGTGAATTTATATATGAATGCATTTGATTCCCAAGAAAAGTTTCTGAACTCAAACGATTGTACTCTTAATATTTAATGCATTGTATCCATAAAACCCAAAGTCACTATTTTTGGTAAAGTGTGAGAGTTCATATCTCATGATTCAAAAGAGACAAAGGTTAAAATGTTTTACTATTGATAAAAATGATAGAAACCTATCTTATTTTGAAATTCTATCTCTATTCAAGCTTTCCGCTAATCCAAGACCGTCTTACCAAAGTTGAGTTTTCGAGAAAAACCTAGATTTTTAATCGAGATTATATGCTAAGAAATCTGTAGCGTTGGTAGCTAATACTGAAGTTGTCAAAGGTTCATATGTAGACTACAGCTTCGTTAGAGAATCAGCGAGAGATTTTTAGAATGGTATTAGAGAATGAATCGTCTTTAGGAGTTCCAACTAGGTGAAGGTTTTTCTCCATTAGATTCCACTAGGTCATAAAATATTATCTTAATCATCATATCTGGATAGCTTTGAATGAAAAACATTGGCGACAAAAGATGTTGTTGCAAATCATCCTTTGTGAACTTTTGATTACTAATGACAACGTTAATACGTTCACATTGATAGGCATAAACAACTTAGACATTGTAATGATACTTTGAGAATGCAAACTCCGATTTTTCAATCATGCAAAACTATTAGACGCAGATTTTGATCCCGAAACCTGATATGCCATTTTGATTGTTTCGGATCACTGGGAAACAAGGGTTTACGGCTGTACAAAATCACTGTGATGCATAAATTTTGTTTGAAAAATGGACATTCTGGCGTACATGAATCAGACAATAATTCGAAATGGTATTGTTCTGTCTTTGTTTCTATCTTTTTCTGGTTTACCAGACTCTACCAAGTTTTAATGAGCTTTGGCGGAAAAGTTGTTTTTAATTCGAAACATATATATCAGAACTCGTCTAAGATTTTAATTATTTTTAAGAAGACTAAAATAGAATTCAAATGAAATGAGCAATAATGTAAAATACGATGTTTTAGAAAGTTCAAAAATGGAATTTAAGTTTACCCAATGATTTGGAATTATAACCAATGCAATGTGCACCGACATATCTCCATCCTCGACCTCTATAAATGTATTGTTGGTCGTCATTATCATTACATATAAGAAAACTATAGCCAATGTCATCCCAACCTCGTTTATCCATTTGAAAATCTTGAAGGTCTCTTATTTCTTTAATACAATCTCGTTGATCAATAATCGGTTTCAAATCTTCTACTTGTCTTATAACAATATGTGTAACCGGTAATGTTGTTAAACGATCACGCTTGTTATAAGGGCGTGCATTCCAGCTGGATCGATTTAATATATTGGGGCAGCCTACAAGAAATATACATCAAAAATGTGTATTTTGTATTTATTCAAGATATAATAGTTCAGTATAAATATCTCAAGTCGTATGAATCTATTAATTGCGACATCAGCCTTATATGTACTTTTGAGTTCGATCAAATACAGAATTCCTGCAGTGACTCTCATGATGCATAAGAGAAAGAGTAAATTTTAATTAATTTCTTCAAAAGTAAAAATATATTTAGTTCAAATAGGAACTTTAGATTTCTGCCTCTAAGAAACAAAATTACATTTATTCTCGCATTTATGAAGAGTCTAGCGTTTGAACTTTTTCAAGACGATCTGTGATATATTTGACTATAAGCTCATGAGTTTCTGGAAATGGGAAAACCCTATATGATATTGGTTTCCAGAAACTTAGAAACCTATCATATATCAGATAAAAAGAAAGCACTACTTGAAAAGTTACTATTTTGCTGGAAACTAATAACACATCTAATACTAGACGTTCAAAAACTCGAAAACTGAGAAGTAGCATCCTGCAATAGTGAAGAAGTTAAGTAGAAGTTTTACATTTTTAGCTTGTTTTTATTGTCTTATTTTTACCTGATGGTAATTGATACTCGATAATATCATCTGTTTCCAGTTTCGTTGCAGGTTTTTTAATACCAAGAGTAAAAATGAATGTAAAAGTTAAACCTAAAAAAATGCCTAATACCAAAAGTCCAATGATGACATAAAAAAGATATTTTCGCTGTTTAAATTTTACATAATCTTCAGTGTCTTTAATATCATCATCAGATGATGACAATGATGATGATCTCGACATTTTGTCATCTAAAAATTGAATGAAAAAAAAAAGAATCGAAAGAAGAAATTTTCTTCAACATATGCCGAAAAAAATAATAAACTACTTTCTAATTCATTTTGATGATCATTTGGATCTTCACATTCTTCTAAATCAATTTCAATTGATATCGATGCTGTTGGATCATCAAGATAATTTCGTTTAATTGCCGTTACTTTAAAAACAGTAAATGGAATAATTAAAATTTCTTTTTCATCGGGTTTCGTTGATAAACTTTGTATATTAATAGCTGTTGAGTTTTGTTTTATGAAATATTGACATAAACATGAATATTGCAAAGCACAATGATTTTTAGGAGTATATCTCATTTGAGATTGTTGACCTTCACCAGCAAACATTTCAGCTACTTGACGATCCATAGATGTTGATAAAAATGCACGATTTAAAATGTGATGATTTAATTGATATTGATCTAAATCATTTTGTGTTATTCTCATACCACGATAACATATACCTTGATATTGATATTGAGAAAAATTTGGATGATAAATTAACAATGTAACAAGATGAACAAGACAATTTACAAGACGATAATTTGATGAAAAAGTTTTTGTTTGATCGAAATATTCTAATATATACAAAGCTAAATCTTTATTTAACACTTTATAAAAAAAATTTGTTAATGTATAAGCTTTGATAAAATATGTTAAATAATCTTGTTTTTCTATGGCTTCTTTAAAATATGCTTCAATAGTTGCAATTTGTTCACGAGTAATTTTATCTTTCGAATTGCTAGTATCATTACTTTCATTTATCAGATATTCATTTAGATAATAATGAATAACTTCAGCTAATAATTTTGATACTAAATGATGATTATCATAAGTTTTGTATAAATCAATAGCTTGGCGGAATTCACGTCGTTTTCCAAGGAGATCATCTCCTACCATTGACCATTCAATATAATCATAATCATTATTATTTGAAAATGATTTTCGTTGTTCGACAAATAATTCTTTTATATCATTCGTATAAGCTTCTTCATAAGGTGTTAGATTATGTCGTAAATTTCGTATGGAATGTAGAGCGCCATATTCTAATAAAATTTTAACCATATCCCGATGTCCATAATAACATGCTACATGCAAACAAGTTGAACCAGTTGAACTTTGAATTTTATTTACGATATTTATATTTCCAATAAATGGTAAAATATTTTGAACTTTTTCTATTTCATTTTCTTTACATAAACGGTATAATAAATCAATGATATTTGAATCATTGTTGTCATTATTTGATGACAATGCTGATAACATTATGACAATAATGAAAAATCGAATATAAAAAACGAATATATTTTCGATGTATTTTACTTATTAACTATAAAGAATAATAAACACAATAGTTAAAACTACAAACTTCTCTGTTTCTATTTATTTACAAGAAGTATTTATGTTTGGATTTCTTTTTATGCTTTTTACTGCGCTCCTCTTAATAATTGTCGTAAATTATATCGAGACACAAGAGAGAAAGAGACATATACATTTATTTCTTTCTACAATAAAAATCATGTTGAAAGTTGAGCTTCTGAAGTATTCTTGTGTAAAAAAATTAGAGTAGTCTGAATTGTCTTCTTATCGCTTTCGTCTTTTGCTATTTTTTTTGATTTATAATAAATGTGACCAACCATTTTAGAGAAATTTCATTGGGTTATATGTAGTGGCTTTTAAAAAAGTCATCTGTTGCCTACATGTAGACTTAATACTTTCTCTTCGTCTAAATTGCTTATTTTCTGTTACCATCTTGACAAGGAAACCGCCTATCACTGTATCTAATACGCTTGTATATTTCCTATATTGCTAGAAAAGCTCTATAATTTGCTGTTACTCTTACTTATGCTATTGTTCTCGTTCCTGTTCCTGCCTTGTTTCGTACTCTCACCTTCGTACTTTGATGGAATCTTCGTATTTTATTATATCTTCTTACGCAGTCTTTCATGCTGAATATGACGAGTATTTTGTGTTCGGATGATGTTAGTGAATAAAAAGCAGGAGAATAAAGAGAAAAAAGCGAAACTTTAGCAGCACATACGATTAGGAAGAACAAGCTGGCAGGTTTTCATTCGTTAACTTTCTTCTCTTTCTTCCTGACAATTTCTTTCTTTTATAGTTAGTTCTAGTCTTTCAATGGAGGGAGTCACTGATGCATGATAAAAGGCATTTTTCTTCCGATTGTAGAGAAACTAGTTGTGTTTTCTCAAACAGAATACTTATTTTCAATGTTAAAAAGAGAACTAAGTCTTGTATTACTAACTGACACCTAATACTGCTGAATAAGTCTATATCTAACTCTTTTTTTTATATGCCTAATCCGTTTTGTCTTTATCTAATCCTTTATTTCTATATTAACCTCTATATCTATATGTAAACTCTTACGGGTATGTCTTATTTCTTCATGTATATCTGATCTGCTACATATGTATCTATCGGTCTGTCTACATGTATGTACTTATAACTGTGTTCATACAGTTATATCGACACACACGCTTGTCTCTTGTGTCTATTCGTTTCTTTCTATTTTATATTGAAAATGAACAAATCTCGTATTTCCTAAACCAATTTAAGCGCGACGGAAGCCAAATCATTCGAAACGAAAAACACTTAAATTGTTTAAATCTGCTTGCTGAACAAGTATTCTATCATATGAAAAATGTTTAGCATTTTTCATGTCACGATGCTGAAGCAATCAACATCGCAAAAGCTTTGGTATATCCAAACATAGATAATTGTTTAGCGTTCAGAAACTTTGTTTCTATCAGCAAAATTATAGAATTACAATGATTTAGTGAAAATAATTTGACGGCGATTTCTTTGACGCTTGTTACATTGTGTCTAGAAGTAGCTCCGCATGGAAAAATATGAAGTCTAAATATACTAATGAGATATGCAAACACGACTGTCAAATGAATAATAGATAGATGATTTCTAGGGTGTTTGATAGAGCTTTTCTGAACGCTTGGAACCATTTTTACTTGAAATAGTTCTTAAAATAATTTAGAATTTCGGTTGGTTTAGTACTAAAGGAATTCAACCTCAAGAAGTTCAGTATCTTCGCTAAACCCCCAATGATATTAATACAAAGAAATGACGGGAAAAAGGCATTGCTTATAGCTGATAACGAGAACCTTAAAAGTCTAAGCTGAGAATTTATTTTACTGAAAAACTTCTCCAAAGAACTGTTTCTCTTGAGTTTGAGAGACTTTCTTCCCGAATTCTTTCCAAAACTAAGCAAAATCAAGCGAAAGTATGGACTTCAAGAGTGTACACTTTACCATATCTCACGGCACTTCACTTCTACTTCAAATTCTTTATTTGAAGTAGTGAAGTCGTACTTTCTTCTACTTGAAAAGAGCACATCGTTTTACTCATGTCGCATGTCAAATCATTAATCAATAATGAAACAAAAAGGCAAATTTGGATTATCTTCTATAAATAGGCTTGGACATTCAACTCTATTGGAAAGAAAGTAAATAGGCATAAGGATCAAGATAAGTAAATTTTTCTTCTGAGCAGACATATTATTGATGTATTTTTCTTTGAAAGACTGAGAAGAGAAAAGGACAAATGAATTTATTGCGTATTTAGTATACAGATAATGCACTCGTCATCATCATACTTCCTCTCGGTCTTAAGTAATATGCAAATATCTACTATCTTAAAAAAAGAAGAAAATGTTATCGTTGTGGATGAAGTTATATTTGTTCATTACATCGACTGAAGAGAGAGTCATATGAAATAAAATGTGTTTGTATGCTTGCAAACACGTGTTGAGTCACGTGTACACATACTAATGATGAGATACAGAATTTTTGTAAAGCTTGCCTGAAGACAATTCGGGTTGAGAAATATAAATCTGATCCGGTTTTTCAAATTTTGAGTTTGTTTTTTTTTATGAATAAAAGGCTTTTTTACGTAACTAATGATTCTCATGTTTATGTTTTTTTTTATTACAAGAAAAGATGTCATCCAATAATATGCTCTGTAAATGACCAACACAAGTACTCAGACCTCATATAAAGGCATTCGGTTCGAGATTATTTTCTGTCTGTACCTAAACTAATTTTGTCAAGCCTCAAGACTTATGAAACACTCTATAATTGTGGATTGTCGTGTGTTTATCTAACGCGAATAAAGTGAGAGGATATTATGGGTCTCTTTTAGACTGATTCGAAATACAAACCATACTCTACGCCTTTATCTCTCCTCAAAATAAGCCTCTGCATTTTTTTATTCAATATTCATACAGAAGCGTATTATTTTTATTATCAAAATACTTCGACAAGATCGATTGCTGAAAAGCAAGAGTTGAGACTAGCAAATTGAACCTATCTTGTTTTCGATTGATTTATCTTCAAGTTAGCTGAACTAGGTATCAAGAATATACACTCAGTCAAATAAAAGAAATGAAATGGCATTATTTCAGTTTTAACGAGACACGTTGAATATGTTGCTTGAGCAAAGTGACATTCATATGTATGGGAGGCAACACTTGGTGATAAATGGAGGCTGATTGTTCGTAATATGAGAGTGCTTGTTTCAAGTCACTTTTCAGCTCGTTAGCTTGTCCGATGCGCGTTAGTGTCATTACTAGTTTTGAATGTTGGTGAGGGAGTGTTTTTTCGAAAATTTTTAGCGACAAAAGTAAATATTCCAATGAAATATCATTTTGATCAGTACAATACAGAATTTCACCGATGTTTCTGTACGACTCGCCAAAATCAGGATGATCAGTAGGAAGGTACTTTTGACGAATAATTAATGCCTTCTGATTATACTCTAGTGCTTGCGAGTATCTCTTCTCCATCCTGTAGAGAAAGGATATGTTGAAGAAACACATTGCTACATCGAGTCGATCTTTTGTCGAATCTTCTTTCAAAAGTATTAATGCCTCGTTGTACGATTCCAGTGCAGCCTTCGTATTGCATTCCCTTGACCAAGCCTTACCGATTCCAATGTAACTCCTCGCACAACGAGGATCATCCGATTTCAGTATATCTAGTGCTTTGTAGTTCCACTCGAGGTTTAAGTCATACTGACCTTTATCATAGGCCACTCTACCAAGATTCTGATAACATTCAGCGATTAGCTTCTTATTATGAGGTAATTCATTAAGTAGACGATGACAGTATTTTTCGGCTACACTCAATTTGCCCATCCATTGAAGCACATGGCTGAATGACAGAAGGTTCATTTCACACTCCCCATATTCATTTCTCAAGCATTGAAAGATCGGCTGCCACTCGTGATCGTGTTCACTACTTAATGTCAGTTTGATAATCCATATTTGATCTTTATCATAATAAATATCAACAAGTCGAAAAATAGATCCATACATAATCAGTACTTCTTGTTCATCAGGAATACAGCTTTGTGAACTAATATCTGCAAACGGTTTGATATCACAGTGTTGAGGATCCAGGTCGATTTCAAATAAGACTTGATACAAACCAACATGTGCAACTTTTGTATCACCCAAGAAACTCAGAGACACACTACGATCGATACTAGTCGAGAGTAACGAGTTGATAGAAATAAATTGTTCAATCGAGTTTTTAAGCAATTTTAGTTCGTCATTCGACAACAATTGACCACGAAAGACTTGAATCGCTGACGAACATTGCAATTGCTTGAGTTGTCTGTAAATGTCATGAATGAAAAATCGAAATACAAAAAGTAAATCAATATTTTGAGTACGAAGAGCCTTATTCAAAATTCGATAAAGAAATGATTGTCTTGTGTACCACCACAACGCACGATCAGCTGAGTAATTACGTTTAAATTCGTCTAGAGTATACAATTCAACTGGATTATCTTGATATTCTCGTTGACATAGAGAAATTAGTTCATTCTTATCTGCAAGAACCGGTTTCATTCGAAGAAGACAATCGATTAATAATTGTGCATGAATAAAATAACCATTGAGTTCAGTAATTGATCGTTCAATATCACTACTTGTGTTGAAAATGGTGAACGAGAGTGATTCTTCAGCTTTGTTGTGAATTCGTCGATTTTGATCCTGTTGAATTTGTGTCACAAGTATATCTAGACTGTTGACCACACTTTTGGTCTGAATATAAAATAATTAGCAGATAGAACACTCCGATTTTCATTCTACAAATATTTTCGGACTGCAGAATTTCAATTATCTACTTACGTGTATTGAACGATATATTCTCTTATTACCTTAGCGAATTGCTGGGACCATTGTTTCTTTTCCTATTTGTCCATACAAAAAATTAAGATCGAAGAAATTTGTCGAAGGTGGCGAACACGAGGCACTATTTCTTGACTTAATCGATCACTAACGATCAAGATAATTTGATCTTGTTTAGATACTTGTTGAATGTATTGTTCACATTCGTGACCATTGTGGAATATTTTCAAGCAGTTGATCGATGCACGAAGTCGCTGCTGAATATCAACATTTGTCTTTGGGTTGTTGAGTTCGACACCGAAGCAAACAAGACAAAAGCTCTCTAGATTATCATCTATTATTGTGGTCGGCAGTACTTCAGATATAGCAGATGCCATGTTAGTTTGCTTGTGTGTTCAGAGTCTCTTCTTGTTATAAACCAATCATACACACATAGATTCATGCATATATAAATATAAGCATTTATCGGTATCTAAATGTGTCAGAAGCATCAGAAAAGGCGTGCTTACAATAGAACCTTTTATACTGTCCATCAACACAACTGATCATTGGTCAGGTCAAATTATCACTCCCATTGCCACAAACTAACAAATTTAAAATATTACGTGCCCATAGGAAGTTTGAACCAAGGTATTCGACTTTTACGACATTTACAGTTTTGGTTTGTAAGCATAATAATATGAAAACTATTCATATCCAATGTGTTACATAATCATCGGATTTTTGAGGTAGTACTTGATTAGATTCTCGTTGAAAATTATCGACCACATTAGATTCAGCTTCTTCTGA